TTTTCCCTCTATCTTTGGCCTCGGATGCGGGGTTCGATAATCTGTCCCACGCGGGTGGCATCGGGCTATTGTAATTTGGGCTACCTCGACGGACCATCTCCTTAGCCGCATATTTTGCACTTGCAACATGCAACGTCACGGCCTCGACCGCCGGTCTCCACTCAACCCGTCCCTTTATAGAGTGGAAGGTGTGATCTATTTCCCTTCGATGTATCCTATCCGATACATTTCCCATTCTCTCGGTATGGTTCGAGACTGGCTGAAGAAACAGCACGGTTGTAAGAACGACTGGAAGGAAGCTGTGTCCAGAACGAAATGTTCTAGAGTTACCCTACGATAGATAATGATAAAGAGCAATGACGAATACCGTGGCTGATCTATAACATGCGCCTCTTCAACCGATCTCCCCGTAAAGCAAACAGTCGTACCGACCTACTCCCTCGGAATATAAGGCCTCATAACCTCCTCCGCCCACTTCGCCGGAAACCCCAACGTCTCCGCCTCAGAGATAGCCCTGTTCATGCGCGCAATATACTCCTTATAAGGCGGCCCACACCTGACCCTCTCCTCATCAACATACACCAACGTCATCACCTCATCCTCTCCCCCCTTATCCGCATCCGCATCCCCATCCCCATCAAACCACCTCACAACCCTAGCCCCCACAACCCACTTATTGTAATCCCCCCGTCCCTGCTCCCTAGGCCTCACATCCAACGGAACCCTCCCCCCCTCCCTCGACACAGGCGCACAGCGATCCACCCCCTCGTACCCATCCAGCAACCTCTCATCCCTAACATCCATATCATACAGCACGCCGAACACGGCGTCTTCTTCACCGGACACGGGGACCTTCTCCCCCTCGGAGATCTGTTTCCCGACGCGCAGGGAAGACGGCGGGATGACGTTCGCGTACCCGCTTTCGCAGATCAGCCAGCGCCAGTGCGGGAGGGAGGCTATTGCGACGGGGTGGCTGCTGCGGGTGGGGTTTTGGGTGCAGCGGTGGCGCATTTGGGTGGGGGAGAGGTTGGAGCCGTAGGCGAAGTAGAGGGGGCGTTGCTTCTCTTTTTGTTGTGGGGGGGAGGACGGTGGGGAGGATGGGGTGGTGGTGGGTTTGTGGGTGAGGGTTATGTTTAGGTTGGAGGATTGAAGGTCTTCGGGCGCTGGGATGCTGCCTGGGGAGGACTCGGTTTCTTTGAGATGCATTGTTGTGGTTTATGGTTTATGGTTTATGGTTTATGTTGAGGGGGAGAGGTAGGTAGGTTGGGGGTTGGTAGGTTGTGTTGTGTTGTGTTGTGTTTGTAAAAGGTAGGCGTGTATAAGGGAGAGTTGTAAGAGTGTATACAGTACACTAAGAGAGAGAAAGTAAGAGAGTGTGTGTATGAGTGGCAACAGGGACAGAAACAGAGACACAAAAGAGGCCAAGGAACAGTGGATCCAAGTCATGTGGGGAAGAGGGGAAAAGAAAAGGAAAAGAATTCCATTCCATGGTTGAGTTTCCGGGCCGAAAGCGGCATTCTTCTTACTTCTTATGGTTCATTCTCTGGTCACTCATGATATACCTACATATACGGAGTACCATATATGTTGTATAGATCTGTGTATAGTCATATAGTACATATTACAATCAAAAACTGACCAAGAGCCAGTCCTCTAAAACACCTACTTACAAAATAAAGTATTAAACTACATACACATTCTTAATCGGCACCCCCTGCGACTGCACCGTATACCGTCTTTTCACACCAACGCCCCTCGCCCTCCTCAGCAGCTCAAACGTCTCCGCGCCACCCCCAACCATAACCATACTGATAAGATGGCGTCGGGGGATGCCCCCAGCCGTCATCTGCAGTTCTTCCAGACGCGGACGAGCAAGGTACGGTTCGGCGCGTATGGCGGCCAGCCCGAAGTGCAGGGCTGGCTCCCCTGGTGGTACTGAGACCGGCTCTTCGTCGCTGACGACGATCACGAGTTTCAGTGCACGTCGCGACGGCGGATAGGCGGCGATGTTGCGCAACTTGTGCGAGAAGCTGCACCCGCCGCGGCGGACGACCAGGACTTGGTGGTTCTGTGTGACGTCGCGCGGGATGCGGCTGTCGCAGAGGTCGTCGTCGGCGAAGTAGATGCTTGACCAGGGGAGGCGGCGCTTGGAGATTTCTCCTGTTGCCGAGAAGGTGAGTGCGTCTTCCACGTCTGGGAACGGGGTGGATCCGAGCCCTGTGGATATTGAGGCCGGGAGGCTTAGTCGTAGGGGAGATGTGTTTTGGGCCGGGGCGCCGCCGGTGGGGGTGTCATCTCTGAGGAGGGAGGAGACGGAGTTGAAGAGGTTTGATAGGACGGTTCTCATCCCGGAGACGGATGGGTCGGGGGTTGCGGGCTTGTCGCCGTCGGCTGGGGAAGATCTGGAAACAGCAGGATCTGCTCCGCGACCTCCTGCAGCTGGAGCGCGAGAATCTCCTGAATAATTTCCTCGACGGGCGATAGGCTCTGGGAGGACGTCAATGACGATGTCAACCATGGCAAAGTCGTGGATGCGGGTGAAGTTTGGATCGGTGGGATCGAGGACGTCGAATGTGACGTCCCGCGAGAGATATACCTTCTCATCTTTGCCAAGGGGCACGTTGTTGATCACCTGCACTCGGTATTCGTCTCCGTGGTGGGGGTGCCCGGATGACGAAGGGACGTCCCGCACCATGCTCAGACGGAGTCCCCCTACGGTTTTGATGAGAATGCCATCTCGGACGCGTTCCAATGACCCGCTGCCTAGGAGCATGCCGGGGATACTGGGGAAGGAGATGTCGAGGGTTGGACGGATGTTCATGGGCGAGCTGGTGGCGTTGACGGGCACTAGCTCGGGGGGGAGTGTCCATGGGAAGAAGGTGTAGTTGGTGGGTGACGTCAGGTCTGAGAGCGACACCCGCGGGTGATCCATGGCGTAGTCCAGTAGAGGCCCCTCTACCGGGCCCCGGCTAGGCATTAAATGAAGCCGAGCTAGACTCGCGGCGTGGAAGACGTCCGGACGGGCTGCGGTTGACGAGAGACCGAACGTCGGGGGCACAGGTGCCGTCTGGCAGACCGGGGGGTTGGCGGGATAGTCGCTTGGCTGCCGCTCCGGCTTGGATGACGGCGACTTTGCGCTCTTCGGTATAATCAACGGATGCGCCTCCGTAGAAAAGACAAACGGCTGGTCCATGTGGTTGAGAGGGTGTTCTGGCTCGTACATCAGGAACATGTACTTGGCAGTCTCTCCTATAAAGAAGCTCTCCATCCTGTCGCTGAGTTCACCATTCCGGACGTCGTGAATGCCCGCCAACCCACACTTGGTCCAACACCGCCGTTTCAAGTCCCGCAGCACCATCTCCCCGACATGCAAGTACCACGGATCTTTCGTAGCCCGATAGAGGTAATACGTGGACTCGATAAACTCGGGCCGGCCACCGTACCATGTAAGCCCCCCTTCAATATTGCCGGTAGCAACGTTCCATCTCTCAGGGAGGCCCGAGAACCGGGTCCATATCGCCGTCGTCAACAGGTGGATGCCTATCGCCTCGTCCAGATCCCCGGACAGGGTGAGCAGACCGGGGTAGAATGCGCTCAAGCTGTCTATCCAGTACGCGCGTGTGGCACCTGTGAAGGCGTCTCCCTGGATCAGGTGCGGATGCTGGTAGCCTTCGCCTCGGTAGAGGTGGCGTTTGATAGACGCGTGCGAGGCATGCCACACGTCTAAGAAAGCCTCTGCCGAGTGTTCGTACTCGTCTAAGGGCGGAAAATAATCATCTAGGGGATGCCAAGGGCTATGGGGGTCGTGCGGGGGACGCTCTCCCGAGGACAGCAGGACGTAAGACTTGACCGCGTACTCAAAAAAGCTATCGACGCCTGCACCGATCTGCGCACCGACCTATTAGCTCCAAATACGAGTGCGCGATTGTGGAATTGACGTACCCCCGTATAAGAGTGAATCCACCGGCCCGACTCCACATCAATAGCATTGCCAATCAGCCCAATCTCACTCCTCCTCTTCCAAACCGCCCAGAAGGCTCGCTTTGCCATCTCCTCGTACCGCCCATCACCCGTGAGCCTGCTCAACACCGTAAACTCCAAGACCAAACTCCCAGCGCCTGCGCTGCAAGATTCCGTTGTCTCTGCTGACGTCCCGAACCGGCGAGATTTCGGACAAGGTTCCGCACCCCCACAAGTTCGATCTGCATTCAGGGGAGAGTTCGCGTAAAAGGGATGTCGCTGCACGCCGTACCTCAAATTGACTCGAGGGTAAGGAAGGCCGGTGTCGGTGTAGAATGCGGGGATAATGCGATTCGCTAGATCCATCGCAAGGCGCAGAAATTGGCCATCATAAACAAACCCATTCTCCCACTGAATACCGTGTTGACCATCAGGAAACTCCGTCTTGTCCCACGCCTTCGCGAACGCAGCCTCCATCTCCGGAGGATGGTATCCTGTGATAGGTAGATCGCCGACGGCAAAAAGATGAGCGCTCAACAGCCCGCCTGTAGAAGTACTCATGTTAGGGATAAGCCGTGAATTCCATCAATTCCAGGGCGAGGCGCACCTAATCCTCTAATGACCGTCTCAAACACCTGGACTTTGCTATCCAGATCAAAGCCTCTTGCCTTCTCGCCCTGGCCACCAGGGCCATCAGACCCATCCCCATACAGCCGAACAAAGTCCTGTATCCCATTTTGAAAGTGCGTCCAAGCGTGCGCGCCATCCTCGGGATCCGAGGCGAGAATGGCCAGGGACGACAGGCTGTCGATCAACGTCAGGGAATAGTTCCCTAGGACATCGTTCAAGGCGGCATTGCCGGGAGAGTCACGGTCGCGCGTCAACGGAGTGCAGGTCAGCGGGCGCAGTTCGTCTTCGGGGAATGCGTATTTCATATAATTGTCGTATCCGTGGTAGAATAGATGTTGGGTTTCCTTTCTAGAGACCGCGTGGTTAGATAAGACACAAAATCAGAGGCCACCGTGGCCAGGAAGCCAGGACACAATAGATTAATAGCAACATACCGCAACTCCCTAATCTGCTCCGTCCTCATACCCTGAGCCAAACCAAGCCATAGCGACAGCAGCAAGATCCAGGTCATCATCCATGAGGAAGGGAGGTCGCACATCCGACACCACCAACATCCCGAGCGCATTACCGCAGACGCGAGACGGCCACAGGAGGCATGGGATCCGGACACGAAAATGTCTAAGAAAGAGTTCGTCGTCCGTCACAATAGGAAGCTTCAAATCCGGGGAAGTTGGCGAGGTAGTTGGAGGGGGAGAGCAACGCCGTCGCACGTGAGATTGAATGGGGTAGCGGAACCGAAGCAGGCCAGGCCAGATATGTCATTCCGCCGCAGATGTCATGCACGATCCACTTTGGCTCTCTGCTACTTATGTTGATTCGCAATTTTACTTATATGTTTTTATATTGACCGGAAATGATCCTGTCATTTTATCGATAATATCAAGCAAATTCAATAACGCTACATAGAAATCATCGCTATATCTATGCAAATGCCAACGCCGTTCTTAAATATGATATCGAGAAGTCCCAAGGAAATGACAGAACGCCTCTGATGATGGAAAAGCTGAGATAGAAGAGGTCGAGTAACCAAATACGCACTGAGGGCTAGTGGCGCACCGAATCTTCAGACCCAGGCTGTTGCGCCAGCGACCGAGGTTGCGCGTCAACCACATAGTCGATCCCATCGTCAGAGGTATAGCTAGGAGGCCGGGGCGCAGTGGTCTTATTTGCACCTCTCGAGGCTCTATCCGCCTTTTTGGATGAGCGCGCGCGCTCCTCCACACGCTGCCAATACAGCAGATCGGGGTTGATTCTCTGCAAAAATAGTGAGCTACTGGCTGGAAGAACGGCACTTGAGGCTGGTACTTACCACGCTACTTCTCCAGAGACCGTAGGCCGGTGGAGGGGGAGGGACTTTTTCTTGGGCGGAACGATGGCTCTCTGCTAGGAGCTCTTCGTCTCCCGCGAGAACGACGGGGATGGGCCGCTCTGGCTGGGCGTAACCAGATGGTCCTACATTGTGCGGTATGTGATTACCGGTGAGCTGTGACCCTCGCCCGATAGCCATGAAGAAGCGGATCAATGAGTGGAAGAAGACAATCGACAGGATCAGGAGCATGAATATCAAGAGGATGTAGAGCTCCTGGCCGAGGTTGGAGTTGGCGACCGAGAATGCCAGGACTGTTTTTTGTCAGAATAAAGTGAGTGTCACAGATTCGGGGTTCACCTACAGACTGCGAGGACGACAATGAGGAAAGCCGCCGAAGCGACAAGGGTGATGAGCTTCTTTCTGTATGCCTTTGCCCGCAGGATGGAGCCAGACGACCGGTAAGGCGAGTCGAGGCTCAATAGTTCGCGCCACCAGTGTGCGAAATGCCCCCACCATCCCACCGGACGTTGTCGAACACCACCACGATTGCTGTCTGCAGTCGGCTGATAGTCGAGTTGAGCGTAAGGACCTCGTGGCCCATCAGCCGTGGGGTTGGTATCAACGACCGGACGAGGCGACGACAGCATAGATCTCGATATTCGATCCTCGACACGACCTCTCAGACCTGCGAGTCCCGCGCCACTGCGGCGGCCACTTCGAGAATTTCCACCGGTATGGGTATCATTGTCGTCGATTTCGAGAACATGAGTAGGCAGCGTGCGAGAAGCCGCAGGAGACGAATACGACGGCGAAGGCTGAGGCAGGGAAGCCGATTCCATGTCGAATAAAACAATAGCCTTTCAACCACGGAATAGCATTTGGACCGCCAGGCAATAGAGTTGAAGATGACCTCTTTCCCTTCTAGCTCCAAGCATCCACTATGAGGCGCGCTGGTACCAGTCTCAAGGCGTCAACATATCCCAACGATCCACCCGACTTGAATGTTTCCTGCGGGTTGGGTTGTCTGCGATGACTTGTCCGGCGTCCACTATGCGAGTTCCGACTGGACGATCCGCGAGTATAGTCAGATAGACCTCGGATAAGATTCGTGGAGAGAGAGGACGGGTCGACTATTATAAATCGTTTCTGCGCGTTTGCGATTGGATTGGATGGTTTGGCACTGCTATACAGTCATAGTGCTATATCGAATTGGCTGGCTCTAGGTGGTAGACCCAGAAAAGGAGGATGCGCGGGCGTAACAAATAAAGAGTCGAGAGACAAAGCTGGAAGCTTGGTAGCGATAACTTCAAAAATAAAAAAGAGAGTATACAGGATATGCAGGTAAGAATTAAGGGGCACCAGGCCGCCTTGTAGACGTTAAAAAATAATAAGTATTATCAAAGAAACAAGTAGTTATAAACGAGAGAAACTGTCCTACCAACAGTGAATGACCAATAAAGTAGTGTGAAAGTAACGAGCGACAGCAATCAGATCATAAGGAGTGAGGAGGAGGAAGAAGAAGAAGATGAAAGAACAAAACAGACAGTAAGTAGCTGAGAAGGAAGATAACTAGTGGACGATTTAGCCCACACGAAACCAATATGATCGCGATCCATTGATCCTGATCCTGGTTCCTATTCGAGTGCTCTCATATCTATTATTATAAGGAGACAGGTAGGACGAACTACTCCATTTGCCTCTTAGTTTCTCCCCTGATTGACCCACGTTTGCCGGTCCAGACTCCTGCACATCACCCTACGCAGCTTGGCCTTGGATTCATTTGACCTGTACGCAGGATAGGGTGGTTTCTGCTTCCCTTGAAGTTGATTATCCTTTCCAATTCAACAGGAATCAATTGTTGATGGAAATTCAATGGTAGTGACTCGGTGTTGTAGGATTCCGACGTAGTAGATACTAGACAGCAGACAGTATTGGTTGCAGTCAGGAGAAGACCCACTCTGACCTGATACGTATACCTCCTACCTACTAGTCGGTCCGTGTTTCGGATTTCGGTCTAAGCTTGAGATCAATCATGAGGGGCGCCATGAAGGGTTCTCAGCTACTAACTAGCAGGGATCTACTGAGACTGCGACTGAGTAGGCACTTGGACAGATGATGTTGTTATTCGCCACATGCCCTAAATTAATCCCAGACATGGTCAAAATATGGGAAGATATGATTACATGAAACACTCAATGCTGATAAACTCGACCCGTATTTTCTCCCGCATGAATTGCAATACCCTGACTCCGTTTCCAGGTCCGCTGAAACCGTTGATGACTCGACAGAGTCCGACTTGCACGCGAGATGATGCGCACAAGGCCACTTGCATGTAATGTGGCACTGACTGACAGGGTTCCCGGTTGTATGACTGAGAATGGCCACCTCCCTGGTCGCAACATTCGAGGTTTACTGCGTCTGAGACTGGGACTTCAAAATACTTGTGTGACTAGACAGTGTGGTAGACCGACAGTTCAGATGATATGGTGGGAAAATATGTTCACTTGCCCAGTTCACCAAGCATGAGAGTCCGATCAGACGAGCCAGAGACAACTGGGATTATTAGCATGGGAAGTAGGGAAAGATGGAACAACAGTTTAAAAACAGGCAAGACTTACTGATAGGCTCGTTGTTCGGCGAGAACCGCACATCATTAACAGTCCCCTTATGCCCAGGAAGCTTGTACAATAACTTCCCGGTCTTGGAGTCCCACACCACAACGCTCCGGTCTCCGCTTCCTGCAGCAATCTTGGCACCCGAGCGGTCCCAGCTAGCCCGGATGAGGTTCTTCTCGAGACCGATCGGGGCACCGTCAAATGTCCTGACGTGCCGATTGGCAGGCGCAAACGGCCGGATATCCCATGTCCGTACCGTCGAATCATGCGAGTTGGACAATAAAGTCTGGGAGTCGGGCGAAATCTCAAGCGAAGTGATGGTATCGGCGTGGCCGTGCATGGAGTAAGCCACGGACTTCTTCCGCAGATCCCACACATGTATAGTGTTGTCGATTCCACCGCTGTAGATCTCGTTTCCTGCCTCCGACATAGCAGCGGCTGTGACGGGCAGCTCCGTTTCCAGGTAGTCAATGGCCTCCTTTTGTCGGGGATCCCAGATCCCGATGGTGCCGTCGTCGCTTGCGCTGACCAGCAGTTCCTGGCCTCGTTTGCTGATGTCCAAAGAGTTAATGATTTCCTCGTGGCCCTCGTGGCGACGAATCCTTTGCCCGGTCTCCAAATCCCAGCTTGCAAGTGTCATATCCGCGGAGGCGGAAAATAACGATTTCGAATCTCGCGACCATTGTAGATCGAGGACCGCGCCGCGATGGCCCGATAGAACGCCAAAGTTTTCACACTGCCCGTATGTATTCCAAAGTACTGCAATCGATCCTAGTTAGCTCGAATCTGGTGGGCGGTATCGTGGAGTGACATACGGATGGACCTATCCATCGAACCGGATGCGATGTGCTGCGCAGAAGGATCGAATCGCACGGCGAAGACTTCACCGGAATGGCCTGCCACATTGTTAGCTTACCATCTCTCAAGATATCCGCAGAACAAACATACCCGTCAATTCCATAATCGGCGCGTCGAGCCCACTGGTGCGGGGGACCTGCGAGCACGATCAGCAAAGAACCGGAGTCAAGCTCCCCTGTCAGCGTAGAGGAAACCTACCGATTGAATAAGAGCCCCATTCTGCGATGATCCCTTCACAACAGCCGAACCAGTATTCAAATCCCCATCGGACTTCTTGCGCTTCACGACAAGCTGGTTCGCCGACCCGAAGGCCTCTTGAGCAGGCCGTTTCTCTCCGGACATTTCGCCGATGTGGGATTGGCGGGAAACAAACACGGAATCGAGCGGTATATAGCGAGAAGAATAGATATGGTTATTATGTAGATATGGTACAAAGAGTTGCGATCGAGTGCTGTGTCGAGTAGAAAATACCCTGCAGACATGTGAGCCGTGTGGATGTTCTTTGGATGTTGGATTCCGCTAGCCGCGCTAGACGCCCGACGGTGGTCCACCAAGCGCGAGAAGCTCCGCCCTCCGAACCCCCCGATCCACCGACTCGAGCGGGGAGCATGTTGTAAACAGTTGTTTGTTCAGTTTTACCATCGCTTTACTGAAGAGTGGGATTACACAAGATATTTTGCAAAGATGTCATCTGCAACTAAGACGTCGAGAATCGGCGAAGAGTAAGTTTACAGAATGCGTTAATTGATGGATGCCTGCTAACACATCATGCCCCAGATTATGGAAGTCAGTAAGCGGAACAGCACCGACCCGACACCCGATCCGACAATGTGACCAGAAGCGGATGGACGATGACTGACAGACGCAGAACACGGGTTGACAAGGTCAACGCGGAGCTGGTGACGCTCACCTACGGCACAATCGTCGCGCAGCTATGCCAAGACTACGATAGCAATTACCAGGAGGTAAACCGACAGCTGGAGAAGATGGGCTACAACATCGGGATGCGCCTCATTGAGGACTTCCTGGCGAAGACGGGAGCGGGCCGGTGTGCGAATTTCCGGGACACGGCCGATATGATCTCGAAGGTATGCGGTATCTACCCCTGATGGATTAGAGTGGTGGGCTAGATTCGTTTTTCTGACACATGATCCGTGGACTAGGTTGGATTCAAGATCTTCCTCAACATCTCGCCCAACGTGACCAACTGGACGAGCGACAATAACCAGTTCTCGCTCATCTTCGACGAGAACCCCCTGGCGGACTTTGTGGAGTTACCAGATGACGGGAGGGCGCAGGATGAATTGTGGTTTTCGAACATTTTGTGCGGTGTACTGCGTGGTGCTTTGGAGATGGTATGTCTTGTCTACGGACTGGATGGACACCGGAGATTGTGGAATGATGGCTAATACGATTCAGGTGCAAATGCAAGTCGAGGCGCGGTTTGTGAGCGACGTGTTGCGCGGGGACGATACGACGGAGATGCGGGTCTCGCTTGTGAGATATATCGAGGACGAGATGCCACCGGAGGAGGAATAGAGGGGGTGGAATTTCTTGGATTGGCGTGACCGGCGTTTGGGATCTACCTCCGTATATGTGTATCTACGTTATTGCAGAGCAAGACGTATAAATCAATCAAACGTAATTTCAAGGGTATAACGGGTAGATGGGATGAATAGGTATAAAGGATTATAGTCATTCGGTGGTTATTCAGGGCGTACCTGATTGATATGCTCGGTGGCTGGCGGTTGCTGGTCGAAGGGAAATTGATATATACAGTGTTGAGGAGACGGAAGCCATGGTGGAGACGTAGGTTATTCTATCCCGTCTCCACCATGCAACAAGCTCTACGACAGGAACAAAGTAATACACCCATATTTTTCCGATTGTACGAATCTATGCATAGATTCTATATAACCAGAACCACTAGGTAGTAGTATAACGGTAGACAGGATCATTGTTCTACTCAATGTACATTGTACGGTATGTAGATACACCTACAATGAGTGAATACACATTCATCCCAAAGCCTGGATAGAATAAACAGAGTGGTGATTGATAGTGACAGGTAATAACAGTATTAGCAGTATGAGAGTAACAGATCAATGACTACTAAGATAGTGGGCCAGGATAGAATCTCAAGAGCGGGAAAGCCGAAGGATCATCCCATTCCAGCTAGCTGATCGCCCTACCGAAGTTTATATATCGATTGATCTGGGGAACCTGTCACTGTATACAGAGGAGTTAGGGTTGTTAAACACAGATGGCATGTTGTCATATACATCTATCTCTTACATTCTTGTAATATAGGATCCAAACAGTCCAAGTTAGGTAGTGATGGGGATTGATGACACGTGACACACAGTAGAGATGAGCTGTCCATAGAGTAAGAAGGATCACTCAGTTGATACATCATCTGGGACTGGTCGGATTGTAGTGATGATCTGTCCATATTATTGTCTTCTTCATCTTGACCAGTATATAAATATCAGTCATCAATACAAAATCATACAATCCAAATAAGAACAACAACAATGACAGTAGTATCAATAAGAATCAAGGATGAAGACGATAGATATATACTATGTAACCGTACCGTATACTGCATACTGTATATCCGGTGGGAGAAGATTCTGCGATACCAAGTAAATTACATACATTACAGGCGCGCATGTATGGTACGGTATCCTGCCACTTGATTTCCGCCTCTACCAATCTTGGTCAACGGATTGATTTGATCAGAAATATCTCAAAAGATCCTACACATCATCCGTCACTTATGATTCTTCTTGGATTGATTTCTATCATTTTTCCTATTTTTTTTCTGGTAATTTGGCGACTGTTTTGTTGTGTTCTGTTCTGTCCATGCTGAGGAATACGCAGGACTCCGCACCTCCCAGCCCCGTCCGAACAGATAATCCGAGCCGAACAAGCGACTTCCCGTGACGGAGCAGAAAGAACGAGAGTGAGAGTAAGTGAGAAAGAGAGAGAGAGAGAGAGACAGAGAGAAAGAGAGAAAGAAAGAGGATTGATTCACTCCAGCCCAGACACTCCTCAAGATCCACCGCTACACCTACACTCCTTCTTGCCTCTCTCCTCCCCTCCCTCCCATCCCCGACTCTCTCGTCGGTTCACTACCACTGCTTTTTACTTTTGACAAAGGTCTTTGTAAGATACCTTGGTCTTTTTCTTTTCCCTCTTCTCTTTCGCCTCCCAAAAGTTCCCTGTTCCTTTCCATCTTGCAAATACCCCCCCCCTCGTGGTGGCCATCAAATCTGCCTTGGCCCACCCGTCCTCTCCTAAACGCCGCCTCTTTCCCCCCCGTCCTTTTTCCACTCGCCTTGGGTCGCTTGTCGCCGCCCACTCCTCTCCTCCACCCCTCCCCCTCTAGTTATATCCCATACTCCTCCCCCCACCCTTCATCGCAAACCTCTACTGGAGTATCCGGTCCGACCGATCGTGTCTGTCCGTGCCGTGAAATCTCCCGTGCCAGAACGCGCCCGATCATCCCCAATCTGCGCTTTGATAGCGACAGCGGCGGATGCTTCGCTTTGATACGGGTCTCTCGAACAAGAGAAACTCCCCCCGGTCTGGTCATGTGAGTATTCACCACACCCCCTCTCTCTTCCCTGTATCGTCCCGATGTGTTGTCGTCAACCGATGGGGCCACTGGGGCCACCTGGACGCCCGTCCACCCTGAAACGTTGCCTGAGGCTTATATACCCTTTAGTTCTCGCGTCAGATCTGCCCGACCCCCTCGCGCTAACGTGTCCCTCGTCCCGTTGGCATTTTTTTTTATTATCAAATCTCCCTTTTCGATTCCTTCTCTTCGCCTTACTTGGAGTTCGTCGATCACTACGCGCGCCTCGCCTTTGCCTTGTGGTGAGCTCCCTCGCCGCGAGACGGTGGATGCGCGTTGAAGTTGTTTAATTCTCGACGCTTCCCCATCGAGCACAAGCACTAGCTGAGGGTGGCTGAAACCCGCAAGTGCCACCGATGAACCAGATCAACATGGCTGGGATGAATTCCGGGGTAGGGGGCCCCGTCGGCGGCGTCCCCATGATGAACAACGGTTCCGCCCCCCCCCGGAACGATGGAAACATCAATGCTATCCCCGAGACCATGATCGTCAACCTCAACACCTACATCTATGATTATTTCTTGAAGCGCGGCTATCATGACTGTGCCAGAGCCTTGGTCAAGGACGAGTCCATCAAGTTGAACACCGAACCTCCTATAAAGACGAGTCCCGGTCACCGTCGTGATGCTGACGCCAACGGCATCGAAGGGGACGGAATGATGACCGACGGCAAGGACGGGGAAAAGATCAAAGTCCCCGATGATCTCCCCCGACCCAACCTGGCCAGCGAGAGCCAACAATCTGCCTTCCTCCTCGACTGGTTCAGTCTTTTCTGGGATTTCTTCTGGGCCCAGCGCAAGAAGGGGAATAGCAACGATGTGAAAAATTATCTTCAGCATACACAGGTACGTCCGCTTTTCTCGTGTCGGACTCTGGATTTCTGACGGTGATGTAGAATATTATGCGCATGCGGGAACAGCAGCATAACCAGTTTTTACGCCAACCCCAGATGATGCCCGGTCAGATGGGCCAACTCAACGTTCGCCGGAACGGTGTCGTTCCCAACCTCCAGAAAACTGTCCTGCAGAACAACCAGTCCGGCCTGTACGTTTCTCTCTCTCTCTCTCTCTCTCTCTCTATGTCGTGCGCCTATCTTTTGGGTGTCATACCGATGTGTGTGTGTCCACAAGCTAATTAGATATCAGCTCCCAGCAGCAAATGGTCAACCTGCAGAAGAACCAGCAGCAAGTCCAAATGATGCACCAAATGCAGAGAGAGCAATCGGATATGGATATGAACGGCCACCGCCCCCAGTCGCCCGCCTCCACCGACAACGCCCCCTCTCCGTCCAAGCGACCGCGCCTGGAAAGCGGCCATATGAACGGTCAGCAGCTGGCTCCCAACGGACGCGGCCAGGCGCAGGGCATGCCCGGTCAACCGAACCCGCAGGCGCTGCTGATGCAGAACGGCGCCCTCAACCCGCGCATGAACCCCGCGCAGTTCCAGCAGGCGTTCCAGCAGTCGGGACCTGCCGCGCAGCAGAAATCAATCCAGGTATATGCTCAGAACCTGGCTCTACACCACTCACGCTCAGCAATGAATAACCAGGCAATGCCCAATGGCATGATGAATCCCGGTGTCATGGCGAACCAGACGGACCTGGTCCCGATGGCCGACAACCAGGGTATGTACATGAACGGTGGCGAATACTATCCGAACGGCCAGATGAACCAGGTCCGCGCGGGGATGCCGACCCCCGGCAGTCAGCCCTGGAACCATGCTCTCCAGGATTATCAGATGCAGCTCATGCTCCTGGAGCAGCAGAACAAGCGGCGTCTGATGATGGCTCGTCAAGAGCAGGACAGCATGGCCCGTCCTGACGGCCAGCCGATGCCTGGGCAGCAGCAGGGGTTGCCACCGGGCACCTCCCCCCAGGGCAGTCGGGCGGGCGCGTCCCCCAACCCCAGCGAACAGATGAAGAGGGCCACCCCGAAGATCCCGCAGACCGGTCTCCCCGGTTCCCCGAGCACCGCCGACCCCATGGCCCAGGGCCGCGGATCCCCGGCCTCGATGAATTTCAACCCCGGCCAGATGCCCCCGGACATGGCCGGCGGCCCGTCCTTCTTCATGAAGGGCATGCCGGACGGCATGGTCGGTCCCAACGGTATGCGGCCCCCTAGCTCCAACCCATCCTTTAGTGGGCCCCAGATGGGGCAGCCGATCTCCGCGGGGGCTGGGGCGCGCGTGCCCAGCTGGCAGCCACAGCAGGGCGGACCCCAGGGGCAGCCCATGGCGCCGCATCAGTCGCCCGCGACCCAATCGCAGACCACCGGCACTCCCCAGGATCGCAACCCGATGCCTCCGCCCCAGGCGCCTCCCGCCGCGGGAGCCAACGCTGGTCGCGCCCAACCTCCGTCACCCCAGACCGGTGCCGCCGCCCCTCCCACGCCCCAGCAGGCCACCAAGCCGGCACAGAAGGGCAAGAAGGGCAAAGATGACACGACCCGCAAGGTAAGTAACTTGCACACCTCCCCCTCAACTTCCTTTCATCGTGGGCTTCCCCTTGCAATCCCCGGACTTGAAGTTAAACGTTTGGTTACTAGCGACCGAAGAAACAAGCCGCTGCCGCTGCCAATGCGAATACCGCGGCCACTCCATCCTCTGAAGCCGAGCATCCACCCACGCCTACTCCGCCCACCCCCATCACCCCTCAGCATCCCAACTCGTTTAACAAGACCGGGGCGAACGCCACGACGGCCGCGGCACCGCAGCCCACGTCGGCCCCAGCGCCCCAGCCGCTGGTCCAACAACCCCCGCTCGACCAGAACCCGCAACAGCCGTTTAATGATATCAACATGACTGATGTAGGTCTCCCTATGTGGCTATCTTTCCTTCTATCTTCTTCTTTGTTCTTCCTACTAACCCACCCAGTCATCTGCTTTCAACCTCGACTTCAGCGCCTTGGAGAACCCGGACATCCTGGAGAATTTCGACTTCGACACGTTCCTGAACACGGATGCGGATACGGCAGGATTCGGATTTGATCCAAGTATTTCGTATTCCACCGAGGGGGTCG